GCACATAGCATGATGGGGCGGTAACCTTCCTCGTGAGGTTTGAGCTCGAGAGTGGTCTTTCCCTCTGTAAGGGTGCGGACCCGATTGTGTTGGTCCGCACCCAGAGCTGGATGGATCCGGATGGATTCCTGAAGGCCCTGGGGGAATTTCCGGTTGATAAGGCTGGTGCTCCTGTCGATGCCCTGGTCGAATTGTGGAATGGGGAAATGACCAGGGCTATTGACATGATCGCTCCTAAGCGTCCTCTCCTGCCTGGCAGAGCCCGTTCATCCCCCTGGTATACACCTGACCTACGGATGATGAAGTGGGTTGGGAGACGTCTAGAGCATAGGTGGAGGAAATCATGGGATGAATCTGACCGAACACACTTGAGAGCTCATTATTGAGCCTATGCTGTGGTGGTGAGGGTGGTGAAAAAGAAATTCTTCTCTGCTTCCATTGCCTCCTCACAATGCCATCTGGCGGAGCTGTTTTGGGTGGTACAAGGGCTGGTTCATCCAGGCCCCAAGAAAGACCCCGTACCACCCTTGACAACCTGCTGTGACGACTTTGCCAAGCATTTTAAGGAGAAATTCACTCAGATTCGTCACTAGCGGGACTCCACTAGTTACTCAGAGCCTGCTGGGGAGGTGCCGATGTTGCCGTCTGGTCCAAAATTGATGGATGAGTTCCAGTTATTGCGGCCTGATGATGTGGACAAGGTGCTTGGACAAGTACGTCCCACCACCTGCTTATTGGACCCTTGCCCATCTTGGCTACTTAACAAGGCCAAGCACGGGATAGGGGCCTGGATACTGGAGGTTGTCAACGCCTCTCTGAGGGACGGCCGGGTACCTGCCCCTTTAAAGGAGGCAATAGTCCGGCCAGTCCTAAAGAAGGCATCCCTGGATCCAGAGATAGCCACCAATTATAGACCGGTGGCCAACATCCCGTTCCTGGGCAAGGTGTTAGAGCGGGTGGTGGCGGGACATCTCCAAGCACTCTTGGATGAGACCGATTATCTGGACCCATTTCAGTCCGGCTTCAGACCCGGGTATGGTACTGAATCTGCCTTGGTCGCCCTGCATGATGACCTGTGCAGGGAGAGAGACGGGGAGTGTGTCCCTGTTGGTCCTCCTGGACCTCTTGGTGGCTTTCGATACCATCGACCATGGTATCCTTCTGGATAGGCTAGCGGGATTGGGAGTAGGAGGCACTGCTTTGCAGTGGTTCCGCTCCTATCTCAATGGCTGATTCCAGAAGGTGGTGCTGGGGGACTATGGCTCTGCGCCATGGCAGCTATGCCATGGAGTTCCGCAGGGATCCATTTTGTCCCCCTTGCTATTCAACATCTACATGAAACCACTGGAAGAGGTCATCAGGAGGTGTGGGCTGCGGAATCATCAGTACGCTGATGATACCCAGCTCTACCTCTTGTTTTCAACCAATCAAGGTGAGGCAGTGGCTGTACTGAACCGGTGCCTGGCCGAGGCAATGGGCTGGATGAGGGCCAATAAACTGAAGCTCAATCCAGACAAGACGGAGGTCCTGTTGGTAGGCGGTTCAGGCTTCAGGGTAGGGGACCTGGACCTTGTCCTGAACGGGGTTGCACTCCCTCTTAGGGACAGGGTCCGCAGCTTGGGAGTGCTCCTCGACCCAGAGCTGTCGTTAGCAGCTCAGGTGACGGTGGTGGTGAGGAGCGCCTTCCTTCCGCTTCAGCTGATCCATCAGCTGCGTCCCTACCTGGAAAATGATTGCCTGGTGACAGTGACCCATACAGTGGTAACTTCCCTATTAGACTTCTGTAACATGCTCTACGTGGGCTGCCCTTGAAGACGGTCCGGATACTTCAGATGGTGCAAAATAGAGCTGCCAGGTTGCTGATGGGGACTGGGCATTGTGCTCATACAACCCCAGTCCTCCGTCAGCTTCACTGGCTCCCCATCGAAGTCTGGGCCCAATTCAAGGTGCTGGTTATCACCTATAAAGCCCTCAACGGCTTGGGACCTGGTTATCTAAAGGAGTGCTTGCATCCATATCTGCCCTCCCGCCCCTTGAGATCGGCAGCAGAGGCCCTTCTCTGGGAACCCTCCGTGAAAGATACTAGGAGGGTGAGTGCCCGGAGGAGGGCCTTCTCTGCAGTGGCGCCCCACTTATGGAATGTGCTCCCCTGAGAGGTCCACCTGGCGCCGTCGTTTGTTTTTCAGCGCCAGGCCAAGACCTTTTTATTTAAACGTTATTTTAATTGTTGAATTTATTTATTGATTTTATATTTATGCCGGGATGTTTCCAGTTTTTTATGTATTTGTATAGCTATTTATTTGTATTGGAAGCTGCCCTGAGGCTTTTGCGAATGGGGTGGCATATAAGTATTCCAAATAAATAAATAAATAACAGCTGACATCCTATACTTGTGCTGGAAAGATGTGGGCCTGCAGCTGGCTGGATGACCACATGTGGAACAGAGGGTTGGACTTGATGGCCCTATAGGCTTCTTCCAACTCCGCTAGTATTCTGTTGTATTCAAGTAAGGCACCTGAGGAAGTGCCAAGAAAGGTTCCCACAGCTTCCATGGTACCTATTCTGCCTTAAATTCATCCAAAATTTTAGACACTCAGACACAATATGTCAGGGCAGATCTCTATAAAACAAAGAGCACACACACTTCATACCACACACTGAAATATGAAGAATACAAAAAGGCATGGTCCCCTGCCATTAATTATTTATTTATTAAAAGCTTTTGCATGCTGTCCTATTATACAAGATCTCCATAAACATTTCTTAGAAACAAAGCTTCTCAACTACCAGTTTTTGATTGCATGAGGATTCTATTGTTGCTGTAAAATGTTTTTATATTTTATTGTGATCTGTATCTTTATCTTTTAGACTGTTTTAGCATTCACTTGTGAACCTGAGAGACCATTCTGCCTTGAAATGCAACATAGAAATATCCAAATAAATAACATAGGTAGCCCCAGATTATATCCCCAGAGCTTGTTCTCTGCTAAGACTTTAGGAAGTTAAAGTAACAGTGAAGAAAGCAAACAACCCTCAGTGGAGAAAAGTATAGGCAGTGAGTGGAAAAAATAAACACCCAACAGTACAAACCTTTCACTCATTCAACAGAACTGTGTAGCATGAAGGATGGAATAGGAACTAAATATAGCAAAGAACAGTGGTCACATGACAGCCATCTTACCTGGAACATACGTTCTATTACCACCCTTTCAACAATTGTGTGAGATTATTATTCTAATTTCTGCAGGGGCAGAAATGAAGATAGAATGTAATGGTTTGTACAAGGCTACTCAGAAAGGTCTGCTTCTCACCATCACATTATTTACATGGAAAATATGGAAATATATGATGCCATATGTGACGTGCAGTACCATGAGGGGTTATCACAATTACATAAACTGAATTTTTTAGGCACATTGTGTTAAAGAGCATGCTTATTACTACAAGAAGCTAATATGTCCGATATATGTATATATGTTGGTAAACTGTCTCTCTTAAAATTTGTGGGCAATGTGTCTCATTATCAAGACCTTGCATATTTTCAATATCCACCCAACTTTGTGGTATTGCTTTTTTTTTTTAAGGGAAGAGTGACAAGCACATTGATATAAAAGAATCACCATACTGCAGGCATGAACTTTTATCAGATAGGTTTTCATGTAGATTTATAAAATGGAGAATGCATCTGTCATAAAAGATTAGTCCTTAAAAGATAGTGTATTGGTTTTAGCAGTGGGCAATAGAACTCTACAACAGCCTTAAGAAGTTTATGTGCTAACAAGTTCACAATCTGGCCCATTTTCCTTGGTTAATACAGTCACTGAATGAAATAAGAATGCATTCTAACAAACAACTTATACTGCCCCGTTTCTAAGATTTTCTCTAGCTTTTCTGTCATGTGAAATCTTGCTATCTCTTTCTTTCTTCCTCCAAATAACTGCATGAGATAAGGTAGAATTAAGCCCATTTTTCAGACAGAGTGTCTACTAAACGAAAGAGGCATACCTGACACCATGCAATGAGGCAGCTGTGAAAATGAGATTTGAAAGGTCTCCTTGAGCTTGCAAAGTACCATGCAATCTTGTACGCATCTAATCAGTGGTAAGTTTCACTAAATTCAATAAGCTTGCCAGGCAAGTATGTATCAGACTGCATCTTCACCAAGGAAACCTTTTGGGTGGCCGTCGTGGGCTACTTATTCCTTCCGCTTAACCTACCTTACAAAGCTGTTGTGATACTAAAAGTATGTCGCCCTATATTGTTCTAACAATATGGTAACAATCACGTCTGGAGCCGAGGGGGGCGGGGCGCGGACAAAGCCAGCTCTTTAATACACAGAAAGCTTTTTAACAGCTATTACGTGTAAATTATCTACTGGGGGGAGTGCCCACCTCGGATCCGGGTCCGATAATATTATATATCATCTAATAACACTATCCAAACACCTGGCTGGGTGGCCTATCTGGTCACAGATAGATGGAACTTAAAACTTGTGAAGCCTACGTGATCCTTCGTACAATGAATAGCCCTGGAAGAATCATGCCACCAATACAGGCAGTCAGTGAGCATGACGCGAAGCGGGGGAAAGTGCCCTTTCTGATTTCACTTGTGCACGTGTATCTAGCCTAGAAGCTGGTGCTGAGAGAATATGGCTGCACCCCTAGAGAAACCCCACTGAACTCAGAGACTTTCTCCCGAGAAAACTCGCACGCCGCGCTTACAAAACACGCCAATCAAGCAAACAGGCAGGCTGGCTTTGAGCAAGAGGCGGGCCCCCGGGCGTGGCTCTGATTGGCCGTGCGCCGCTGAGTGAGCGGGCAGGATATCTGACGTCACATCAGGTAAGCGCCCACAAACAAGGACACGCCAGACCGGACGAGGGCAGTGCGTAGTCCCCACTCCACATTCAGCTTGACCCACACGGCGCTAACCGTTCAAACGTACTGTAGAGTCGCGCATGCGCACTCACGGACAGGAAGGGCGGAAAGCGGGTAGCTCGAGTAGCGCATGCGTGAGGAGAGCGGAGGGCGGGGCGACACCTGGTAGGCCCAAGCCAGCAACATGTTGACTCGGGGGCGCTGCAGGGGCCAACGCTAAGGGGGTTCAGGAGGCCTAGCCTCTTCCCCTCTGTTTCAGGTCTCCACCGGTGCGCTCGCTATGGCCCGGCACAGGAACGTGCGTGGCTATAACTACGACGAAGGTAGAGAGCTGCTGAGTCTAAGAAGATCCTCTTTCCCTCTCGAAAAGGCCCTTGTGGCAGTAGCCTTGCTAGGCCGCTGGTGGGAGGGGAGTAAGGAGGGAAAGTGTTAGTGACGTCACTAGCGTGCCTGGGATACGTGTGGCTACTGGGCGGCGGGGGTAGGAGGGGGGGTGGTATGGTAGCCGGAGAAGAGGAGGTAGAAAAGGGGGCAAACGTCGGGGGCTTTGTGGAGGCGCTTGGCGCATGGTCGAGTTGTGGGGGTGGCCCCTCATGAGTCAGCCTTCGTGCCTTTAAAAGTGTTGTCAGGTGGTTCATTGCAAAGAGCACCACAGAGCAGAAGGGCATTGGGGCTTGAATCCCAGCTAATACCCTGACTGTGGTGCATCCATTTTGTATTTTCGTACATGGGACTTCTCGCACATATGGGCCCTCGTACATTTTCGTATATATGACTTCTCATTGACGTTAGAAACTGCACTTTGTGATGATGAGTGCAGTTGTTTCTGTTGTCACCAAGTGCCAGTCAACCCGCTCCCCAGAATGCAAAGACATGGAAGTGGAGCAACAGATAATTAAGTGAAACGACTCATTTGCAGCCTGAATGATTAGTAATGATGTACCTGTGATTGGTGGATGCTAAGGTACAGAAGGCAAGGCTGCAAGCAGGGCCACTAATTGGCCAGTGCTGAAAGGACGTAATAAAATCCTGGCTGTACAGAAAACATGTCAGTCGAGTGTATGTGGGCCTTTTGGCTTTACAGCAGCTCTTGTGTTTACTTGTTCTGTATTGTGTTTTAAAAGGCATGTTCGTTGATTTAGCCTGTAAAGCAAGGTTTTGTAAAAAGACTTGCTTCCAAAAGAAGTGCTTTTTCATAATACTTTACTCATTTTATATAAATGTGTAATCCCCTATTGAAATTATAAATACTGGACTTAACACATCGGAATAAATGTTGATAAAATACTACAGTGTCATAATTATTAACCAGTGTATAGGAAGATAATGCAATTTAATTGGTAAGAACACTGCTAACATTGAAGGACAAAATTATTAAAGCCTTCTCTTACTTGCATCATAACTCACATTTGCGAAGTACTTTTTTCTTTGCAAGGTCCAGAGCAACATTTTATTCATAATTGAGTTCATGAAAGGATTTTATGCAGTTTCTTCTTCGTTAGAACACCAGCCAAAACTGATGGTCATATGATAAATTTCCAAATGGTGAGAAATAACCACCCTGCCCCCCCACCTCCCCCCACACACCAAATATCTTGCGTAAAAGGAAAAAAGGGCAAAATGTATCCAGAGCTGAGCATTTCTAGGTCTTGTGTATTTTTGTGCAAAAGTTAAGATCATGTTAAGCTCACTCAAATGAGTGAGCTTAACATGTATAAATATTTGTACATTTAGAGTGAAGGGAACTAAGATCATTGACCAGATAAAAAGCACAAAAGTGCTTAACTTAGAATGGTTTATACCCATAATATTTAAAGTCAGGCTGGAATGTGTAATAATACTGCTTTAGATGGGCTTCATGTTAATAGATGCAATGGTAAACTGTATGTGCATAGCCAGATTTCTATAACAGTGAATATGAAGTACAGAGTAATATGTTGTATGAGCTTTGAAAATTGATTGTGAGCTGTTTGATTTGAAATGTGGCTTTTGTAAAGTTTTTCAACTAAAGAATATCATAGGCTATAAAATAATTACTTGCCTTATTTAACTATCTTGCAGTTAGTAAATAGACTGATTCCATTTTGGTTCCAAATTCTACTTCAGATACAATGTATGCACCTGGCCCAAGGATTTGAACCAGTGGGCATGACTGGATATATTGTTAAGTTGAATCAAATTTTTAACAAAATATTGCAGTTATTCATGAAATACTATCAAATCATAACAGCACAATTTAGTCTTTCCAATTTTTAAGACTCAGTACATAATCTAGGTTTGCCCTATACTGACAACAACAAATGTTTATATCGGTCAAATTCTAATAAGGACATTGTAACCAAATTTGTCATTCATCTTCTTTGATGATAGGTGGCGTGTCTGACTCAGATGATATGCTTAATGTTATGCCAGGGCAATCAGTGATGCTAAATGTATCATTTCTAACAGAATTCAGTTTGTAATACTGAAATTGATTTTACAATAATATATCGTTACATCAGTAAGCAAATGTTCAGTGATAAATTAGGATAGCTGAAGGGATCTTAGTGGATTATAGTTCATGAAAGTTCATGTATAAATTCGTACAATTTGTTTCCACAAGACTTTTTGTTGCTTTTCTTTAAAAATGGGAAGTTAAACTCATAAATGCAGTAAACAACTGATCCATCTTAATAAAATGCTAGCAATTATTATTGGAGAGTTTGGACTATGTATATAGTCTCAGGAATAAAATTTATTTGACCTCCAAGAGATAATTGCAGAGTAATACTGTACTTTCTGCATTTTTGTCAATAATAAATTGGGTCCATTGAGGAATGGCTTATTTATAGTGCTAAAAACTCCTTGGTAAGCTATAGTGTTAAAACTGGTATTTGCTAAAACTCCTCAAATTCTGCAGTCAGAAAATGTATACAGGCATACCTCATTGCATTGTTTTATTTTTTTTAACAAATTGAAGGTTTGTGAAAACCCTGTGTTGAGCAAGTCTGTTGACATCATATTTCTGACAGCATTTGCTTGCTTCTTGTCTGTGTCATATTTTCCTGCTATTTTAGACTTTTTCATCTCTATTTATTGTGATTTGTGATCATTGATCATAGATGTTGCTATTCTGATTGTTTTGGGGCACAACAAACTGCACCCATATAAGATGGAAAACTTAATTGATAAATGTTGCATGTGTTCTGACTGCTCTGCCTACCAGCCATTCCCATTTCTCTCCCTCTGTTTGGCCCTCCCTGTTCCCTGAGAGACAACAATATTGAAATTAGACCAATAATTTCAGTGGCCTCTTGAGTGTTCAGGTGAAAGGAAGAGCTGCCATAGATAGTGATTTCTCTGATTGATCTGGACAAAGTAAATTGAAAGCCTTCTGGAAAGGATTCACTGTTCTAGATGCCATTGAGAACATTTGTGATTCATGGGAAGAGGTCAAAATATCAACATTAACAGGAGTTTGGAAAAAGTTGATAAGCCTCATGAATTACTTTGAGGGGTTCAAGATTTAAGTGGCAGAAATAACTGCAGATGTGATTGAAATAGCAAGAGAACTAGAATTAGAAGTAGATCCTGAAGACTGAATTGCTGCAATCTCATGATAAAACTTTAATGGATGAGGAGTTGCTTCTTATGGACAAACAAAGAAAGGGACTTCTTGAGATGGAATCTCTTCCTGGTGAAGATGTTGTGAAGACTGCTGAAATGCAACTCATTTAGAATATTACATAAACTTAATTGATAAAGCACTGGTAGGGTTTGAGATGATTGGCTCTAATTTTGAAAAAAGTTCTACTGCAGGTAAAATACTATCAAATAGCATCATGTGCTACAGAAAAATCAATCAGTGTGGCAAACTTCATTGTTGTCTGTCTTTAAGAAATTGCTACAGCTATCCCAACCTTCAGTAGCCACGGACATAGAGGCAAGACCTTAAGACCTTCCACCAACAAAAAGGTTACAAGTTGCTGAAGGTCCGAATGATGGCTAGCATATTTTAGCAATACAGTATTTTTATTAAGTTATGTTCATTTTTTTAAGCCATAATGCTATTACATTTTTAATAGATTACAGTGTAGTATAAATATAACTTTTACATGCACTTGGAAACGAAAACATTTGCGTGACTCACTCTATTGTAATACTCTATCATGGTGGTCTGGAACTGAACTTACAGTACCTCTGAGGTATGCCTGTATTAATCAACTGAATTAAGATTATATGCCCTAAATGCATACATTTTCTACCACAGTGTTAACTCAGACTCTTGCAGCAAAAAATATCCTGCCACAAATAAGACAAATCACTAATACATAACAAAAAATATGAAGGCAGTCTTATTTTGCATGTGTATTTGTAGTTTGCATGCCTTCACCGATTCCCAACTGGCTGTTTGTAGAATTTGGGAACACTGTTTTCCTCAAGGAAATCTATTGAGTATGTAGCCAGCAGTATATATAAGAGAATAGCCTAAATCTACTTGATGTATATCCATCCTTGAAACAAAGCTAAGTATTGGATCATGACACAGTAGATGTTATGGACACAGGAATTTGTATTTTTTGTGTTTCAGAAATTTGTTTTCTGAGTGCAAGTGAGTAAAAGGTTCTGTGTGGAAGTGCCTGTAAGCTATAGCATGGCTTATTGTTCCAGTGATGCATACAAACAAGCACTCTAAAATTGCACTTACATAAAGGTTAATTGTGTCTTTGCTCTTAGACTTTGAAGAAGATGACCTTTATGGACAGTCTGTAGAGGATGATTATTGCATTTCACCTTCAACAGGTTAGTTTATTATTCAGCTATTATTGCTTGCTGCCCTCCTTGAGGCAAAGGGACGGCCTTCTCCCATATGTATGTATTTGACCCCTTAGATCAGGTTCAGAGCCCTTTGGAAAGAGCCATCCTTTAAGGAGGTGAGGAACATGGCAAACAGAAGAAAGGCTTTTTTGGTGATTGCAGCCCACCTATGGAACCCACTAGAATAATTCACCTAGTGCCTTCATTACAACTACTTTTGGTGCCAGGCAACAATAGTTTTATTCTCCAGATATTTAAAATTTGACTTTTCTTGTAATGATTTTAAAGGGAATTTGTTATGATTTTAATTCTCCATGTTTTGATTAATTTTCTCAGCTTTTATATCTGTTACATTTATATTACTGTTAAATTTATACTATTTTAACTGTTTTATTATCTGTTTTTTATTGATTGTGAACCGCTCAGAGGGTCCTGTAGGACTATTGAAGCGGTATATAATTTCAATAAATAAATAGGGAACTGCAGATATGAAAGGGCTTTCTCCTCATCATAGATGACAGGTAAGAATATGTATTCCCCCCCCCCCCCTTTTGGCAGCATAGCTTGGTGAAGTAGCACATGGAAGAATGAAGATGGAAATTACTAAAGGGACTTGCTTAAGATTGCTTTTAGACTCTGAATTAGAATTAATCTCTCTTAATTTTTTCATACTGACAAATCTCAGTATCCCTTAGAGCAAGGATAAGCACATTGTGGTCCTTAAGATGTTTTGGCCTACAATTCCTGTTGTCCTTCACCCTTGGTTAGAGTTTATGGAAGATGTCACCCTCCAGATGTTTTTGCATACAAGTTATTCTCCACTGCTTTAAGACCATTGGTCTGATCACAAGCTAATTTTGTTTTTATCTCTGACTGTATGAGTATTTCAGAAACAAATTACTTTTAGTTATTTTTAATCAAATTAAATATTCCAAAGCAAGATTCATTGTCTTCACCTTGTTTCTATCATAATTGGAATCTGACTTTTCAAAATAAAGACAAACTAGAAATTTGATTGAAATTTACAGAAAGGTCTACAGTGAATAGACCTATAAACAGTAAATACCTGCTTCACTGCAAAATTTAAGAAGTAACATTGTGTAGTGTATTTTTTGAATTAGCCTGGAAGAATTATGAATACAAAGTGACTTATGTTACAAGGTGATTTATAAAATAAATACATTAATTTATATTATAGCTGCTCAGTTTATCTATTCAAGACGAGATAATCCATCAGCATTTGCTGAGAGATTAGAAGAATATGGTTATGAAGATAAAGGCAATTGTGTCTCCAGACACCAGCTAACTGAAGTTGAAAAAGGTAATTCTAGAAAAATCATATGTTCGATTCATGCTTTATTTATCTGGATTATACAAATGCTATGATTTTGTACAAGAAACTGATGTGATCGACTTGCCAATATACATTTGAAAGAACTGATATATTAACTGAATTCTACATCAAAGCTGTCAGATTTACTAATCAGAGAGAAGTAGGACAGTTGGAGTAAAGAGACACCATCCTGCCTTCACTCATCAGTTCATTCATCCTTCAGGTCTCTTCCAGTGAGCCTTTATGGGAACCATCTCCATGCAGTTCATGGTGATTCAAGAACCACTGTTAGACTCTGTTCACTCAGGCTGGGAAGTGTGCAGCTTAAGCAAGTCTGGCACTGATGTGGCAAGCCCTTTCTGTACCCAGCCCCATGCATCTGGTTTTGTGGAGCAACCTGATATATATTTATTTCGTAACATTTCTGTGCCACTTTTATTAAAAATAAATAAACCCTGAAGCAGCTTACAATATAAAATCATGATAAAATTCACTCAAACCGGTGTTTAAAGCAGTGATAAAAACAATAATATTTCAATTAAAATAACTAGGTTCAGGGAAATGTCCTCAGATGTCAGTGGAAGCACTCCACTCCTGGTATCTGCCTAATCCCCCTGGGGAGATAATTCCAAATAATGAGTGCTGAAGTTAAGAAGGTCCTCTTCTGCAGCATGGACAAAAGAACTTCAGTAGGCCATGGTAGGGTCAATTTTCACTGGAGCTGCATTGTCAGTGTTCAGGCTGGGAATTTTTTGTCAAGAGAAGGGTCGCTGTAGCATTGGTCTCAGTTCCCCTTTAGCAACCATCTCTAAGGACACACCTCTTTCCTGCCCTGATGGTGAATCTACTAGAGACATTGCCCTAGTCCCTCAGGACATTGGATGTTGGACTAAATTGATCAGGATCTCATCTAGCAGCTTTTCTTATAGAAAACTATTGACAGAGCATCTGCACAAACCAAATACTCAGACTCTTGCTCTAGCAATGGGCAGTGGTGGCAGTTGCACAGGGAGGACATTTCCCTCCCTCCACCCTTGTGTCAGGGAGGGGTCTCTGCAAGGCTCTGCTTGTGGCAGCTTACACGAAGATTAGTAGTTACCAGATGTGGCCCAACAACTCACCAAGTTTTTTGGGTTGCTGTCTGGGTGAAACCTAATTTGGTCTGGGGCTGGCGATGCTAGTTCCAAACACTTGCACACTCTCCCTAGTACTGCTTACCCCATTTTTTCCCATTCTGTGGTTGTCCTTTTTTGACCTCTCCCTCCAATGTCTGCTTGACAGATGACTCCCTGTCATCCAATGACTGGGTGAAAGTGTTTTCATAATAATACTAGAATAGCTGTTTCAAGGAGTCATTTTTATTATTGGTTACTGCAGCATGATGTGAACCTTGATTTGTTTTTTATAGCAACTATACAACTTCAAAATGCATAAAATACACATAATATTCTTGTCCTGGTCTGCGGAAGGTATTTGCAATCCAAATTAAATTTGGACATTTAAGTTATGTTAAATGCTATTATATAAGGTTATAATTTTTTGGGATCTTGAAATTTACTTAGCTTCTAGCTCTTGAGAGTTACAGGATTAATCCATTACCGCTACTGCCAAAGAGGTTAAATGTATTATTCTAAGAGAAGAAAGTACCTAATGGAAAAGGTGCTGTTTGGTGCTGCCATCATGGCTTAGGTTTCATGGTCAACTTGCTGGTATGTTTGGTCCAACACATGCCTCTGTCGGTAGATTGGGAATCCAAGGCAGTATTTACTCAGCATTTCTATCATTCACCAAGGCCTTGATCTAGAAGGACCCAAACACAATGTTCAAAGTCTGCACTCAACAGAAAATGCTACATCCCCCCCCCCATACAAGTGTTTGCTCAATGCAATCTTTTGGATGTCCCTTCTCACATTTCATTTCTCTTGTGGGTTTTTGTAGGTGAAGAACCTTTTATTAAATCATTGGTTTCAGCAACTTACTCATATTTCTTAAAAAGTTGAAGGCTTTTAGTTAACAGAGTTTTCATAAACACACCACCTAAAATGCTTACAGCTATAGTCACCCATCTGCTGAATCCTGAAAGGTTTTTTTTAACTATATAAGCTAATTACAATATTTGTATATGCTTAAATGACTCCACATTGATTTACAAATTATGCTGGATGTATGAATGATGAATGTATGCATTCATTTAATAATGAATGTATGCATTTAACTGAGTGCTATTAATGTTGATAACAATGATGACATTTTCAGCCTTTTATTCATACCTTAAAGCTGATAACATTATTATACCACTTGATGAAATAAACAGTACTCTTGATGGGCAGGCAAGAGAATAAATTTTGTTCTTGGATGCAGATGGTGATGATTGAGAGATACAGATGGTAATGATTGTAGTATCTCTCTGAATATTTATTTACAATTATCATGTAAAAGTTTTTGTCCTGATTTTTTCTTTTTAGTGAAGATTGATTCATGCCTTGACCATATGAGAGAAGTGCTTGGAGATTCTGTGCCAGAGCAGGTGATGGTGGAAGCAATATTGAGCAGTAAATTTGATGTACAGGAAGCTCTGGATTACATTCTTGCACAAGACAATAAGCAAAATGTGAAGACCAAGAATGAGGATACAGTGATAGCAGGAAAGGCAACAAAAGGTATGTTTACATTTAAACTTTCCTGGGATTTAGTTTATGGCTCTTTTGAGCAGGTGCAGACTGTGTCGGATTTTAAAATCTACCTTTTCTGTTTTTCATAAGTTGAACAACTGACTGACACAATGCAAATATGTCACATATATATATATAAATTATATTTTCAGTTAGTCAGGCCTTAGGTTTCCAAATAATTCTACTGATTTCTAAAAATGTAAATAGCAATAAAACTGTATCTTGTGTGAAATAGTGATAGTAGACAGTGGTTAAGTTATGAATTAGTTGTTCCTTATACAACTGTAAAGATAAGAGCAATGTTGCAGTGATTTTCTAAATTAGCAATTCTATACTGCTGCTCCAGAATTTTTACTAGAATAGCATAGCTATTAAACTGTATCATTGAGCATATTATTTACAAATAGTTTCAATAAAGTTTGTTAATTAAATGCCTTTTTATGTTTTTCCTTGATTTTGCTGTTGCCTTTCCTACTTTGTCACAACTTGGAACTATATTTCCTATGGCCCTGCTTCTGTCCTGGAATTGTTGGCTCCTGTAAGGTAAGGCTTATTCTGCTCAGAAACATTTTCTAATGATAACAGCTTGCTTAACTTGGTAGAAAACCCTTCCGATTCCACTAGCTTGTGCCCCATAGACAATTTTGAATCTCCTAGCTTTTCAACTCCAAGTGACAAAATTTCATTCAGACCTAAATATATCAGAACATCTTCAATCAAAAAGAAAACCTCAGGATCTTTTTGTAAATCCATGGGAGAATTTCCTGTACCATTCAGTGGAAATAACATATCACTTTATGAACCATTCAGCAAGCAGGTAACACTGTCATTAGCTGACAGCACCGGAGCAGCAGGTTGGCAATCTTGCAAAGAATGTAATGTGCGCATTAGTTCAGATGCTGAATTGTCAAAAGAAAATCCATCAGAAAATGTTTCTTGGAATCAGTCTAATTGTAAAGGAGTTCAGGACTTGAGGGTGTTGTTTAGGCTTAATGAAACAGGTGACTCATCAGATGCCCAAGACCACACATTGATTGTTCTCCCAAAAAATTCTGATTGTGATAGGACAAGCTGTTTGGACAGTCCTCCTGCTTTAATGAGTGCTTTGGGGAATTTGGTGCTAGATAGTAAGATAAATAACAAGATCAATAAAAAGACTGAACATTTTGAAAACATCCCTCCACTATTGCAAAATAAGGCCTATCTCCCAGGGCAAAACAGTAGCTGTTCAGAGACTGAGAGTTTAATATTTTCCATGTCTGAAAGTCCATCATTAGCTGATCTTCTGCAGGAACACCAAGAAAATAATTCAAACAAGACTTGTTCTTTGTCTCATCTCCAAAATCCATTGTCATCAGGCTTCACAGAAGTGGAATTAAGACATTCATCATTGTCCCAGCTAGCCAATCAACCCCAAATTTCATCTGGAATGACAGAACTGTCAGGATCTTTATCTTCCCTGACGGTCTCCAAATCTTCTCCAGTAAAAGAGCTTGAGACTCTCTCACTTTCAGATTTAATTGCAAAATCAATTGAAGTGGATAAGCCTGAAACAAGCAACTGTTCAGGGTTTCATGTAGCTAAAGCGGTGCAGCCAGCAGTTGTGAATTCAGATATTGATCTAAGTGTTCTTATTAAAAAATCAGCATTATCTCCAGAACCTGTGGAAGTACAGTCAGGCAAACTGGTTCCAGAACCTGAAGCTGTATTTGCAAAGAAGGGGAGGCAAATATTTATAGCTGAAAGAGGCAAGAAAAACAAAAAGAGAATGAGATCATGTGCCTTAGAAGGCAGTGTTCCATGGATAAAGGCCCTCTCTGCGAGGCCATCAGCTTTTGCTATAACTTTATGTCTTCGTTACCCTCCCAAAAGATGTAAGCGCAAAACTGTTAACCTCCATAAGGCTTTCTTATACAGCAGCCAGATGCAAGAAGTAAAAATTAACGAAGTTGGACCCTTTTTAGCAATAACTCCATTTGACTTCAAATCACCATCTCCTGATGACATTGTAAAATCAGGTCAAAAGAAAGCCTTCACCAGACAATAATGCAACAAACTAATGCTAATTGTGATTATTTTTTAAAATTAAAAAATATATTTTATACTGGGTAACTTTGCATTGCAAATTGAAATAGATTTCTTTTTAAAAAGCCAATTACTGTTTTATATTGGCTAACAGACTTTCTAGTAAAGTTTTGAAGAAGCACTGCATTCCAGACCTTTTTATTGTTTTACTCTCTAATTGGTAAAGGTAAATATTAATTTGGTAACTCATTAGCTTTGGAATAATGTGCTTTGGTGCTGAATCTTTTCCAGATAATTAATGGGAAGCATTTTTTTCCAAAATGAATGTAATGATACTGCTATATATAATAATTCATGGTTAAAAGAATTACACTGGGGAACAAATCTTTGAATGTATATTTCTGTGAATTAATTTTCCTTAATGTAGTATTTATGCTTTTAATGACTCTTTGCTTATACCTCTGTTGTTGTTCTGATTTCTGATAAGAGAGCATGTTGTTTTCTTTCTTTTTATCCAGCACTTTCTTTTTACTGGACCCTTTTCTTGAAATATCAATGGTATTTCAGTGCATGACTATTGGGGGTTTTGTTTCCACATTGCTATGAAAAAGTACTTAATGCTGATCATGGTGGTAAGCCATTTCTAAATTTGTAGTGGGACCAGTATTGCTTTTAAAAGCACAGTCTGTGAATAACTTTTTTATGAACTTTTTTCTTTTCTCACAAGTAGTTTGCATGTAAGGGCAATCATTCTTTGCCATATGTGCACTGGAATGAGTGAGCCATGAGTTAACCACTGTGTTGTTCGGCCTCTGAATGATCCAGCTCTCCAGATTAACACATCATTTGCACACCTGAATGCGCTGATTACAGGTTTCCAGAACGTAGAAATGAGGAGTGTGCTGGAGGTAGCACATTCAGGGACTTGCTTCCACTTGTGCATGTGTGAACTGAGTAATATTCAGCATTGCATGACAGGAAAGCAAGCTTGTGTGACAGATATCTTCCTTCCTTCCTTCCTCCCTTCCTTCCGCAGGCGTTTGTACTCCTTTTTGGGCGGGCTTACCAAAAATTATGGACTCTGTCATTTGGAGCTACAGTAGGAGTGGGGAGTTGCCTCATATCAGGTGGGGGAATCTTCTCTTCATGTGCAAGTTTCCCAATTTCAGCAACTTGTCACATTCAGTTCAGTCCCATAAAGCTTAGCCTAAAAAGTAGAACCCCGAAGAAGCTTTTTGGAGGATGGGCAATTGCAGGGGACTGCAGCAGGAAGGAAGGGAAAGATGCACTGTGTGAGATTATCTTGCACAATGTTGGATATAATACTAGAATTAGTTTTCTTTACCTTTTGATCTTAGGACTACTTTGCATATTAAGCAGAATGTTTGTGTGTTTGTCACCGTGCAAAGCCTATTCTGTCTTCCTTTCTTTTTGGCATGAGTAAACAGACCAGGAAGCATCCAACCATAGCTCCCAGTTTTGTCTGAACTGGGAAATTCTGCTTACCAACATTGATTTGATTGCTCATGCTGCAAAGGGAGGAACATTGGGGCTGCATGCATGGGCAAAAGTCTTAGTCTTATCTCAGCTTATTGAGTCAAGATACAGTTGTTCAGGCTTGCTCATTACCATTTGAGAGTTCTGTTTTGAGCCCAGTATTTAATTTGTGTTGCGACTTTAAACTTTTGTTATCTCGCAGTTTTCAGCTTTTGGTGACTGGTCATTCTTTTTAATGCTATTCTATAAAGGATCATGGGCATTTGTCTTCTGTTAAGACTTTCACTGTTGTTTATTGTGTCCTTGAGTTGTACGAAGCTTTGTGTCTCTGTCAGCAGAATAGACATTGCTGGTGGAATGTTCCCTCACTACTGTAGAGAACCATGCCCTCCAAATACATTCTAGAAGGTTAGGGGAACCTCCTAAGCAGATTTGGACAGTGCAGTGGGGAATAAAAGAAGGGGAAGTCCCATTGGTTGAACAGATGTCCGTTCATCTGATGTTGGACGGAATTTACAATTGTGACTGCATAACATGCATTGCTGTATTTTCAGTTAATGTTCTCAATTAATGTTATGCTAATTTAGCAGGCAGCTGTTACTTATTTGGTTTTTTATATATGGATTTGTGTGTGTTTGTATATACGTATAAACACACAAGATGTTGTAATACACTTTTTTGAAAAGTCTTATCAAATGTAGAATTATTCTGATATATTTTGATGTAAATTTCATTCCATGACATTTGGGTGCAAATTGAGTATCTTTGTGGATACTCAATGTATCACATACATCATCACAATGCAGGGGTGTAATTAAATAGCAGTATTTCTTAATGATGCCTACAGCCTTTTTCTGATGGGACCGGTGTCTTTTACCAGTTCCTCTTACTTCTTACAATCATCTCATGTATTGAAATGAGATTTTAATCCTTCTTTGTCAGAATAGATCTTGAAGTTGCAGCCTCACAGAGAAACTCTGTGAATAAAGACTGTAAAGAAGGGGAAATGTCATTCTGAGATGAGTGGACTAGTGGAGAGATCCTTTGTGGACATGGTTTAAGAAGTTTCTGCAGAGTTAGCTGTGGTCAAGTGAATGATGGGCTGCATGGCAGCTTTAATGTGTAGAATTTCCATTCAGACAGATGTTGTAATTTTTAAATGAAGCTGATGTATATATTTCTAATAAGAACCAAAAATGACCAAAGAAGAAATTTATTTCCTTAATTTTATGACAATTTTATTTTTCCTAACATTTTTGATTGTTCCTGTTCAAATGTGAAAATATTTTGACTCACAGTAAATACTATTCTGTAGATTCTTAGGATGATCCATTCTGCTTTGGTGGTGGTTGTACAATGGGCAGGGATTAGCATATTGTTTAAAAAGCACTGTCTATTCTCCTGGTGGCTCTCAGGTAGCTCTCTGTGCTGCAGATTCATTGCAGCACACTGCCTAATAGTTAGCACTGCAAATTTTGTTCCATGCCACCTTGCTTGACTCAGATCCTGAGTCTATGAGTTAATTTCAGTTCAGAGGGATGATGACTTGCAGGTAAAAGCAAAGCCTGGGTTGATTGCTATATAGGTGGTGGGCAACACACTCCTGTGGCCAGTAAGTTGCAGTTTGTGCACACCAACTGCTGGGAGGTGAGGGAACGCAGCTGCATCCTTGCAGGAATCAGGAGTGTATTGTGCCTTTATGTTTTATTGATATTTTATTGTTCCGAAGCCAGCCTGTCTTTGACATGTGTATATAAAGCACAAATTTATTAATAGTGTATATTTTGAAACTTTAAAAATCCCTCTAAACTATTATTTGGGTGCCTACTTTAGACAACAAAACCTTCTATTTAAAACATTTTGAGTATTGTGAAGCTAGTGTTTAGGCATTTATGTATTCCCAATTAAGTATTTTGAAGTAAAATTGACTTGTAATTTGTTTTTCATCAGATATTCATAATAAAAGCGAGTATACATCAATGCTCACTGTCTTTCTGTGTCTTGCTGTTGGGACTCAAAAACAGCTGTTTCTACAGAACTCCATTGATATAAAGGGGCTTATTGAAAATGTACATCTTCTGCCCCAGTAATTCAAAAATAATTTTAATTTTGTGGGATTAAAGAGTGGATTGGGTGTTATGAAATGTGAGTTGTAGTTGTTCTGTTCTGTTGAATGTAAGTCAAATTGTAAGAGAGGTTTATGTTGTGTCTCGGAGCAGACCGATATTCTTCATAGAAGTGTATCCAGATATGTTGGATTTAATCGATAACAATGGCTTGTCACCTTACATTTTTTTCAGAATATCCTTTTAACCTTTTAAAGGAATTGTTA